AATAAGAATGTTGTTTATTGGTCCAGTGGTGAGGATTTTTGTTTTCTTTACATTGATACCGAAGGCTGTGCTCTTTGATCTTCATCAGTAAGTATTTTAAGTCCTCTTCACTTTCAGCAAGCAAGGTTGTATCATCTGCATATTGCAGGTTGTTAATGAGAGTCTTCCTCTAATCCTGATGCCATGTTTTTCTTCATAGAACCTAGCGTCTCAGATTATTTGTATATATGAGTATTCTGGGACACTTAATTGTGCTCATCAGTCACTCTTCAGAGACCCTATACAGGGTCACTATTGGTCGGAAACGATTAGAGGGTACTAAACAAACAAAAAACATGGAGCCCTACTGGCACAGTGGTTAAGTGCTTGCTTGCTAACCAAAAGGTCAGTGGTTTGACCCTACTGCTGAACTCCTGGTGTGGTGTTGTAGGATCAGTACTGGACTGCGAACTACAAGTTCAGCAGTTCCAACTCACCAGTTGCATGTTGGAAAGCCTCTTCAGGGTTGCTATGAGTCAGAATTGACTTAACAGCACTGAACAACAAGAAAAACAGTGGTTCTGTGGCAGAAAGGACCTGGCATTCTGTTCCTGTGAAAGATTCCAAATCCTAAACCACTGCCACATAGTGCCCCTATAGCACAGAGTACAGCTGTGCTTCAGTTTCTGAGACTGTTGTTGTTGTTGTTGTTCAGTGCCATTGAGTTGGAACTGACTCATAGCGACCCCATGCACAGCAGAACCAAACAATATCTGATCCTGGGCCAACCTCAATTACCACTGCCACACTTGACACCATCAATGCTGCCACTTGACTGATCCATCTCATTGGGGGTCTTCCTCTTTTTCTCTGACCCTCCATCTTACCCAGCATGACATTCTTCTCCAGCGACTGTTCCCTCCTGACAATATGTCCAAAGTATGAGAGACGAAGTTTAGCCATCTTGGCCTCCAAGGAGCACTCTGGCTGCACTTCTTCCAAAACATATCTATTGGTTCTTTTGGCAGCTGATGGCACTTTTAGTATTCTCATCCAACACCACAATACAAAGGCATCAATTCTGCTACGATCTGAGATGGTACATCTTGAAGAATAAAGAGCCTCATCTTTCTCCCTAAGAGCACCTGGTGTATTTGAACTGCCAGTCTACAGGTTAGCCTAGAAAACCCTTGAGGTAGTTCTACCCTGTCCTGGAATCCTGGAGTAGTGCTATAAGATAAAAACTGGTCTGCTAACCCTAAGGCTGGTGGTTCAAACTCACCAGCTGCTCCTTAGAAACCCTGTTTGGGGTCACTATGAGAGTTGGAAGTGAATTGATAGCACAGGGTCGTTATGAGTCAGAGTTGACTCGATGGCAGTAGATTTGTTTTCAGATTCTATTCTCCCACAGTCCCTGCATATCCTCTTTCTCTGTACTAAGTGGGATTTTTTTTTTTTTACTTGTTTCTTCCCCACACTTGGCTATGACCTTCCTGAGAGTGGTGGTGATGGTTGTGTTCCGTTGAGTTGGTTCTGACTCATAGCAACCCTGTAGATGGTTTCCAAGGCTGTAAATTGTTGTAAATGAGGAGAGGAAAGCCTCATCTTTCTCCTGTGGAGCAGGTGGTAGATTTGAACTACTGACTTTGAGGTTAGCGGGCCAGTTCACTAGTACACTAGTACAGAATGTTTTATCCCTCCATCTCCAGTGCTAAGGGGAGTCCCAGACTTTCTAAGAAATGGCCCCAGTTGTGTCTATGCCCAGGAAGGTTCTGAACCCCACATCCCTTGGAGGGCTTTGCCTCCAGAAAAGAACAATTTACATTATTAAAAGGAGAATTAACATTAGAACAGATTGGTTTTCAAACAAAATATTAGTAAAAATGGAATTTTTCCAAATACTTGTTTTTAAAAAAATTATCTGTAAATCTTGAATGACAAGGCTCTGTGATAGAGGGATCAAAACATAGTCTGAATGGGTAGAAGAGGGGAAATAATGTTAAGATGTTTGACTATTGAATATTGACTTCCCTTTCCTACTATTATAAAACAGACACTTGAGTGGGATAGAAAGGAATATCGAGAAACATGATGACAGAAAGCTTGTAAACCCGTCTTCAGCCTATAACTGATTAGAATACCTAAAAGGGGTTCAGAACTTGCCTAGTGTAACAGGCTTCTTGCAGAGCCCTTGTAGTGTATAGGACCTTAAATGGAATCCTGAGTCCCATCTTTAACCTTCTGAGGTGGAGCATTTCCACTTGAAAGGGCATTCAGATCAGCCTGGAGCAGTTAGAGGAACAAAATATACTTCTGGAAAGAAAGACCAGGAAGGGGGGAAAAAATGGCAGTCTGTTTGGGTATTACAAGAACAAGCAAGCTATTCACAAGGGAACCATCAAGGCAAGCAATCAAGTCCCTTCAGGACAAACCCCCTCCAAGACTGAAGCTCATAGGGAACACACAAGCAGGCATGTAAGCTAGCTGGCAACTGCATTGGTCTACATGTGAGTGGAAGTGGAGGAAAGGCAGTAGTGAAGATATGGGTTGAGTTCAACCACATTCCATAGACTCCTGTTGACCTGGAGATGAGAGAGAAGAGGAAGGGATGGCTGGTCTGAAGTGTGGGGAGACTTGGGAACTCCTGAGCCCATGGACAATGACCTAGCCTCAGAGGGCTAGAGCTGAAAGTGAAGCGTCCAGATGATATGAAGTGGGGAGAGACGCACAAGAACAGCCAAAGTTGCAGATAGTACCCATTTGACCTAGCTTCGACTGGAGGAATATAAAGAAATTTGATAAAGGAAGCAAGTGTACATTTCTACAATTTGATGAACTTGACCTATACTTATGGATGTAGTAGCTCAAAATACCAACTGAGAGGGAAGGAGTCTTCACATCAAGTATCAAGCCTATCCCCTCTGAATACAGGGTTGATAGGGATGGGCAACTTAGACATTGGCTACCTAAAATGGGGGGGCTATAAAGGCACAAAGTGGCTGGCTTATAAGTTTTCAAGAGGGAGTTTAGCTTCAGGGTGTGTGGGGGAAGATAGAATCCCCACTGGATAGTTTTCATCTTGTCTAGATAGATCTGGTGAAAGGAGATGGGGATAAGATTCTTATGATTCAAGAGTGAGTAATTTTTATCATGACTAATTGCAATTGTCACAATGTAAAGGTAGAAGTTTTGTAACATAAAGGTGGGAATAGTTAATCTTACATTCTGGAAACAGAGGATCCTAGGACCATCAAGGGAGAATTGCATGAGTGGAATGTGGTACGCTTACCTGAGAAGCAGCAACACCAGAGATGGAGGCAGAGATGACATTGAGAGATAGAACAGCTGAGGACTCTAGACTCATGGAAAGAGCACACAGCTTTTCTCTTTCCATATTTATGTTACAAAATGTCTCCTGGGACCTGGTCGGCCAGCAGT